CAAAAACTTCAGAGGACATCCATAACCCCTGGGGTTTTACTTTACCCCCTCCAACCGGAGATTCCCAAATATTTCTAGCTAAAACAAATTTTTATTCTGCATTATTGTGAGCTACAATTACAACCCTTAATGTAGTTTTTGATGCTCTCCCCGAATGGCTTGCAAAAATCCCGACAAAATACGCGAAAATACCGAAAACTTTGAGACCCTTCGGCTGTGGCGGGGGGGGGTAAAGCACAGTCTTACCAAAACCGAAATCACCAAGTTTTCCGGATTAAAACTCTGAACCTTTTAGCATATAAAAACTTAGAAAGAATAACAAAAAATCCAATTGTCATAGTCTGCTCAAAAGAATCTGCGCTTACGAATGAACTGTATCACGTCAATTTTTCAAATTTTCGAAAATCGATGCTGTTTAATATACCATATTTATAATATATAGTTTAATAGATTATATTTTAAGTATATATGTTTAATATATATAGTTTAAGTATTTAGTTATATAGTTTAATATATATAGTTTAAGTATATATAGTTTAAGTGTTAGATTTACATTTAATATAATATATAGTTTAGAGAACCACCACGTTTAAAAAATTTCTGAGACAAATCTGGGGGAGATAACATTTTGCAGCTCATTCGTAAGCGCAGATTTTTCCGACCATGTACTAATTAATTTCTTTCCTGGAATGTTTTTTCTAAGAATTTCATGGGCATTCAAAGTGTGCTATTTTAGGCGTTTCTCGAGCTAAAAAACTTTGTAACTTTGTCAAAATTGTCTTTCAGTAATTTTTGAAATCAGATTCGGAATCAGCGCAAAATTCTGCAAAAGAGAGGTCCGGTGCCAACCGAAAACACAATTCACACTAAAAGTTTTTTACATTTTAGAGGTTAAAGCCCGAGATTTTCCATCTAAATTCTTTCTGTCGTTCATAATCTTTTCGACTCAACTGTAATAGATCCCGATTCAATAGGCCAAGTCAGACATTTTGGTCTGTGTTAAATATTGGTGGCATACAGTGGGGGTCAAATCTAAGCTTGGGAGGGCTGTCGATTTGCATCAATCCAGATCCGAATGGTCACTCAAAAAACTCCGCAAACTACAAAATCGGCTATTTCTACAAGATGTCTGCCCGCTATTCGGTGCTCCTCGTGCTGGCCCTGATCGTCGTCCATCTCGACACCGGCGATGCCATCAAGTGTTATGACTGCCACAGCCCCACCATTGCTAGCCCATACGACCCGAAAATCAATTAGTAAACCGATCGCGACCATTAAATAATTAAAACCAATTATAGTTCGCTTCGCGGCAGGCGGGTTCATCCGAAATGCGAGGAAGGCAGCACGGTACGCAAACATTTTTTGGAATCTGGTTCTGGTTCGTTAGCGGGGGAGGAAAAATTTTGGTATATGTCGGCTACGCGGGGGAGGGGACAATTTTTGCGCGGGGGACGGGGCAGGCAGGCCTTTTTTGCATGTTTTCGTTATTTTCTGGGAATTTTTGCAACGGCATTCGATAGAGTATCAAAAAATATACTAAGAGTTTTTGTTTTAGCTCAAATTAGTGTAATATAAGAAAGTTACAGCAAATACAAAAATAAGCGGCTAAATTTGCTTATACGGTCACCTACTCAAAACCTAACGTTTGATATGTCAAAATGCTCAGCAAGATGAGCTGGTGCAAGTTCCGTTGAGAAAACTTGGCGGCAAAATCTCTATGTCGAGATACATGACTTCGAAGTGCAATATTCTGACTTCGAAAACTCGGTTTTCGCTGATCGATAAGATAAATAACGTTTCGATACAGGCTTAGCTTTACTCAACACACCCAGTTTGAGCCTATAAAAAAAGGCTTCGTGCCACCCAGGGCCTAGTCGCTTCGGATGGGCGCGAGCTCGTACAGGGTTTCGAAATGGGGACGCCAAGGCCGGCGTAGCGGCCGGGGGCGCCCCCATTTCGAAAGAGTGGAGCGGCAGCCCATCCGAAGCGACGGCCCACCTTGCCTGACCATGCTCAGAAAGCAAAAAGAATGTGTGAAAAAGTAAGTGTGAGTTTAAAAAGGGGCTTTTGATCAATTACGTAGTTTTCCGAACTTTCCTCTGGAATTCGTACTGTCTTTTGTTGCTTTTCGTACTACTGCCGCACAAGATTTCGCCATTTGTTGCTTTTCTTTGTGATATCTCGAGATAGAGCTTTTGCCGCCAAGTTTTCTCAACGGATCTCGCACGAGCTTGTCCTGCTGGACATTTTAACATATCAATAGTTGTGTTTTGAGTAGGTGACCGGATACGACACTAGCCAACTTCGAAGTCATTTATCTCGAGATAGGGCTTTTGCCGCCAAGTTTTCTCAACGGATCTTGCACCAGCTCGCCCTGCTGAGCATTTTGACATATTAAAAGTTAGGTTTTGAGTAGGTGACCGTATAAGCAAATTTTCCCAAATAAGCTTTTAAAATCGGGTTGAGCGGCTGTTTCTCGACCTTCACGCTTATTTCGACTTATTTTTATAATATTTTTGGAGTTTTTGGCTACGGTTTACTTTACCCCCCCCCCAGCCGGAAGTTTTTGGCTATAACTTTTTTATTTTACATTATTGTAGGCTCAAATTAAAACTCTTAGTATATTTTTCGAGGCTACGGTTTATTTTACCCCCCCCCCCCCCAGCCGGAAGTTTTTGGCTATAACTTTTTTATTTTACATTACCAGATGGTTACAGTCGCTTCGCGACTGCAACCATCTGGCCTTCGGGCTACCCTAAATGCCCCATTCCACCACATGCTTTCCCACCTCCATCAATACCCCCCATCGCCGAAATCCCGCTCAAAAACTACCTAAATACCTTCCTGACGGCTTCAGATACCCCCATGGCTGAAATCCCCTTCAAAAACTACCTAAATACCTTCCTGATGGCTTCAGATACCCCCCATAGCTGAAATCCCGTTCAAAAACTACCTAAATACCTTCCTGATGGCTTCAGATACCCCCCATGGCTGAAATCCCCTTCAAAAACTACCTAAATACCTTCCTGATGGCTTCAGATACCCCCCATGGCTGAAATCCCCTTCAAAAACTACCTAAATACCTTCCTGATGGCTTCAGATACCCCCATGGCTGAAATCCCCTTCAAAAACTACCTAAATACCTTCCTGATGGCTTCAGATACCCCCCATGGCTGAAATCCCCTTCAAAAACTACCTAAATACCTTCCTGATGGCTTTAGATACCTCCCCTAGCCGAAATCCCCTTAAAAAACAAAAATAACGACCGTCCGGATGGAATGAGAGAAAAAAAAGAAATGAAATCCCCCGTGAAAATTTTCATCCACGAAACGCGCGCGACCTGGCTCACTATGTCCAAAATCGCCCCCACCCCTTTTACTAAGGAAAAACTTTCAAAGTTAATTTTAATAATTTAAACTAAAAGTTTTTCCTAATTTTTTTATCAGTTTGGGGGTTTCTGACCACGCTCTATCCGAATCCGAAGAGAGCTAAGCCGTAGCTCCTTTCCCCTTCGAGTTGAATTCGGCTTCAGACAGACAGACACCACTACTTTTTTATTATAGTTGATTGTAGGCTCAAATTGAAACTCTTAGTATATTTTTCGACGCTCTATCGAATGGCGTTGCGAAAATCCCGACAAAATAAGCGAAAATACCGACAACTTTGAGACCCTTCGGCTGTGGGGGGGTAAAGTAAACTCTTACCTTTTTCGACGCTCTATCGAATGGCGTTGCAGAAATCCCGACAAAATAAGCGAAAATACCGACAACTTTGAGACCCTTCGGCTGTGGGGGGTAAAGTAAACTCCTACCGAATTTTTTGTACGATAGCTCGTTCGAAAGAGCATCTTTTTCTGCACAAGGTGCGCTAATTGCTTTTGCGGAAATTTTTCTCTCGATTTTTGCAGGAGGGTAGACTGCAATTTGGGGCGTTTTGACTTTAAAATGCGCGGTAACTTTTTCAAAATGCGGATTAAGCAAATTTAGAAAACAGATTCCGAATCAGCGCAAAATTCTGCACCAGATAGGCAATGTCATGCTCAAAACGGCGATGTCATGCAAAAACGTCTCCTTGTAAGTAAGCTCGCGCTTCAGGAACTGCTGACGTGCGATTACCACGCTTATTGCGGCATGCGGGTTGAAAAAGACTCCAAGGGCGAGGAGTCGATTTGGAGGGGTTGCACCCCGCAGACTCCCAGCGATGGCTGCACAATCCCGGCAGTTCTGAAAAAGGGTGAGTTTGGTCGCGGGTATCGGTCTACGGTGTGTCCAAAAACCACCTTTTCCTAGCGGTTTTCCGAATATGTCAGATCGTCAGAAGTTACACGTGGTTTGGCTCTCCTCGAATTTTCATAATCTCGAATTTTGATAATCCCTAATGTTAAAAGGCCTTTTTAAATTCATAAAATACGGCCTTTTGAAATTAAATTGTCATTGTAAATTCATTGAAAAACATTAAACGCTTCAATGCCTTATTTTCTAGAGAGTTGGGTGACTTGCATTTGTGAGGGAGATCTGTGCAACGTCTGGGACGTGACCAAGATGAGGCCACAGGCGTCGTCCACCCGCTCGCTGCTCCACCTCATCGCCATCCCCTTCGTCGCCGCCTACATGATTACCCATTTCTGAAGCCTATTTGAGTATACTTGTGAATAAACAGCTGCCATTTACTCATGCACAAAACTTTTCTCACGCTTCAGAAACCGTATTTGCACCCGAAAATTCTGAATTCCGGACGAAGATGCGGGAAAAGAAGACGGACCGTTTTCCGGCGACTCCCATCGCGGAAAAGGCTTCCTTCAAATTTGGTTCTTTTGCATTATCGGGGGGATTATTCACTATAAATTATAGAATAGAATTAAACAGCCTAAAATTGGGGTAATGCATAAGATACCCACCGATCATGCGTAAGAACGGAAAGTTTAAAACAATCTTCATTTTTTCAAAACTAGTGATCACGGATTTCAGCTGGTAAGGTATAATTTATACTTTCACTAGTTATTCTGTCATGTATTTGGAGCAGTCGGCGGAATTCTTGGGTGTTCGGATGAAGGGGCATTTCTGAAAACAATAAACCTAGCTGATAAAGACGGCCTCGGGCTACGAACTACGATCCTTGAAAACACCTACAGGGTCAGGGCATGACAACGGCAGCGCGGGTCCGGAGAAGTCGCCCTTCGTCGTTTTTTTGCCTACCTGAAAGAGGGATTCTTTTTAAACCCTTGGGTTACCGGCTCGAGCATGTTCTTCCAAACCCAGGTGGCTGTGACGGCATGGCCATATTGAGAAAAGTGGAAACAGTCGGGGCAGAAGAAGTCCGAATCCACAGTGCCGTTCTGAAAGATGTCATTCCTCGAGAGAGAGAGAGAGAGAGAGAGAGAGAGAGAGAGAGAAAGGGAGAGGGAGGGAGAAACCATTTAGAAGAATAATTTACCGGATAACTGGGCGGGTGGATGATCTCATTAGCGAATGGCTGGACGACATATGTGAAATCGTCTTTCTCGAAGATGCCGTCATCCTGTAGTTTAGTCTCTAGCTGTTGATATTCTGTACAAGCGGCCGAAATCATTGCATCCGTGAAGTTCTTGTTCTGCTCACAGCCGCATTCATCGCTGCAAAAAGGTATGTAGCGATACTTCCGTGCAAGAAGTGGAAAAACAACAACCAACCAACCAACCAACGAACAACCCAACAAAAACCTACGTATGCAACGCCAAGCAGAACATATTTCCGGTGTCGACCTGGCGGAGGAGTTCGAGATGCAGCATTGACATCAGGTTAACTATCACCCTTGGGACGTTATCCTAAAAAAATTTTTAGATCGAATTTTTCGACTTTTTAGGATAAATTTTTTGTTTTACCGGCGAAAAATAAAAATACCTGGATGTACTGGACGGCCTGACGAATCTCGGCTACGCAGTTTGACGGAGCGTAGTCCTTAAAAACGATAAAAAATGTTGTTAATATTTTACCGGATGCCTGCAAAGCCCGCAAATGTCATTTCCACCAATGAAGATGTTCAGCAATTTCCAGTCATTTGCCATGTCGATGGCCTAGACCAGGCTTTTAAGTCGTAAATCAACGTAAATCTCTATCACCAAAATACCTACATCAGAATGTGCCTTCATCCTGGCCACCAAATCCTTGGCCTGATCCGGTAGATCCTTGGCGTTTGCCCCGGGATAGGCCAAGTTGAACTGGGCGACCTCCCACACCATTTGACCACCAATTCCGAGCGAATATCCGTACAGTTTGGGGTTGTACTTCTTTAGGATGTCTGAAAAGTTGAAGCTAATAGGCAAAAAATGGTATTAAAGCTCGGCAGGGGCGTAGCCAGAAAAAAATTTCGGGGGGGGGCCCAAAAAATTTTTCCAAAAAACTCAAAACATTGCCGAAAAAACAGCGCCGCAGGCAAAAATTTTTGAAAAAAGGCTACATAGCTCTACAAATAACCGTAAAAACGTGAAAAAAATAGCGCCGCAGGCAGCAAAAATTTTGAGAAAATAAAAATCATAAGGGTCCCCCCTTATGAAATTTTCGGGCCCCGGCCGATTTCGGGGGCCCGGGCCCCCGGGGCCTGTATTACGCTACGTCCCTGAAGCTCGGTAATCGTATAGCACATACTTGGTATAGTGACGTGCTGCTCGAGCGACTTGTCCCCGCCCGCCATGAAGGCTAGACCACGATACTGGAGGACGACGGCTAGAGGATCTTCGGCACCAGCGCCATTTGCTGCCTAAGTTTTAGCGGTTTTGAAGGAATTCAGTAGATAAACAATGGATCAGCTCATGCATTTCTTAAGTTACTCCGATTTGTACGAGCTTCGCGGGACTTTTTCTCGTATTGAGCTTTTGAGACTTGTTATGGAACAGGCAAGCAAATTCTTCAAAAAAACTACGCCATTTGGACGAGTTGCGTTCTTTCTCCTGCCATTCTACTTTCCAAAGTTTGTGCAACTCGGTTAGCTAGCTAATCAGGCTAGGAGAAAACGTTCTTGGACGTCATTGTCGAATGCGAAGAACTCTCACGTCGCGGATGGCTTAATGTTAAAGCTTTTTTCGTACCGTAATCGAATCCCCGAGCGCCATCACCACCTTGATGTCACCAGGACGAACAGAGTTGACATTTGTGGGGATCTGAAACGCCGAATTGTAGGTTTTTCGTGGTAAGCAAAACACCAGCCAATAACTACAGTTTTTCAGCTCTTTTCGCTTACCTTTGCGCTCGGCTTCATCAAATCCGCTCCACAGTCATAGTTCGGAACGCCGAGGTCCCGCAACGGATCTCCCCAACCACTAAAAAAATGTTAGAAATTGAAAAAAAAATTGCGAAGTCTTAATCCTGAACATCGCAGTTCGAATCGCATGCGCATTTGCGACAATTCCGACAAAATTTTGGTGTTACTTACCCCAAAACGACCGCTAGCAGAGCGCTGGCGATGACCGCTGAAACCATCAAAATCTAAGGCTTTTTTGCAAATTATTTACCTCTCGAAAGCATGGCCAATCGAAGAAGACGAGTGCCTATTCCCTTATCGAAACCCGGATGCCATCCAGAGTTTGGCCCGCGGAAACGTGGGTCTTATCGCCGATTTCAGGCCGCCAGGGTGCAGTTCAGAATGATGCTCATAAAAGTTGAATAAAAAACTGTGAATACTATACTTTAGGGTTTGCCGTTTTGCCAAGACATTTGAGGCAACTGCGATAAAAATCGATTCATAAAGACAACAAACGTTCATGGAAACGTTTTTTAGTGTGAATTGAATTTTGAGTCGACACTAGACCTACAATGTGCAGAATTTTGCCCGATTCCGAATCCGTTTTCACAAACTGCTAAGCGGTCGCTTTGAAGAAAAAAATATCCAGGAAAAACAATTAGCACATCCCACGCAGAACAATCGTCGCTTTCGAATGAGCGGACCAACGTTTCCAGATTTTACGCAAAAATTTTTTCTTAAACGTGTTGCTGCTCTAGAAATAGAAGCGATTTTCGAAAAGTTTAGAAAAATTGGCGTGCGTAAATACACTTATACGAGCCGATATCGTGGGTAATTTTTGGGGAAAACTGAACCTGGGCGTCATAAATTGATATCTTTATTGCACGCCGAACATTACCCGTAACTTATATATACAGAGAACCATCGAGCAAGCATAAATAAGAAATGCAGTATTTTTAAAAACCGCAGCACATCAATACAATTAAAATTAGCAAAATAGCGCGATTATCTACGCAGAAGCATCAATTCAGCTTAAACTTGTTCATCCGGCGGTTCGTCCATGGTCTCGTCAATTTGCTCAACCATTTCCGGGATAGGTCGTATCGTCGTGGACCCGGAAGTGCTCGGCAAACTCGGGTCCGTTTCTTGACTCTAAAAATGATTTTCTATGGAAATCCCCATCTGAACAGACCTCTGTATTTTCCCTAATAACCACTGCTCGTTGCCCCTTCTTCCCCTCTTCCATCTCATGACTCTCCTCACTCTCCTCCTCATCCGACAAATCGATATTCGCTATTTTGATCTCGATTTTCGACGGCTCGGCTTTGCTGCGAGCATATCTAAAGCTAGAGCAGGCTAGCAGAGACCATTTGGGGAAATCACCTTCTTATCGTTTGCCTTGTTGTTGACCAGACCTTCTTGGCGACGGTGGGTTCGGTCTGGAAGGGAAACGGGGGTAGAAATAAAGTTTAAAAAGTGAAAAAGCTTACCTGCTCATCCGTGCCGACAAGGCAGAATGCGAGCGCGACGACGATGGTGACCACGGAAACGAGGCACTAAATAAATATTCAGGTTAGCCGACAGAGTGCGAAAAAAGCATTTTTTCACATTTGTTTTGCTTCTTCAATTTTACTAAAAGCTCATCTAACACATTTATTTGATTAAACCTAGAATTCGAAGCGTCGATTTGGGCATACCGATGGCCAAACGTGCCGAAAAACTGATTATCCGACGTACCAACTTTTAGAAGTAACGTTTTTAGGAGTACTGACTTTTAGAAGTAGCGAGCTTGTAGAAACCTAAGCCCCGCAAACAAAACAGAGCAAACAATTATGTCGTCATGCCATAAAATTTACATTTGTTTAAATTTCGCTTAGATTTAACGTACCAATATACCGGCTGGCCAGCGCCAAAGGCGATCTGATATCATAAGTAGCGACGATCGTTGCCCAAAGCACAACGAGACGATTGATACAAGGAAAACTATCTGAAAAAATTTAGATTTTTTGTATGAGCACTTTTTTACGCCTTCATTTGAAATGTGCGCTATTTCTAGCCTCCAAACGGTCAAGTTTGAATTCTCAAATTTTACGCGCACCGTGCCAGGATTCAAAATGTTGCCCCACAGTTCGCGAGATTGGGCTTATTTTAGGGCCCCCGGCAGCTAGCCGGGCCTAGCTGCTTCTCATCCGTCCTCTTCCCCTAGCCAATTGCAATCCTCGAGCTCAATTTTTGCCCAGGCCAACTAATCCAAAACTTCCGCTTCAGCGGGAAGTTTGAAAAGAGGAGAACGGAAATTAGCATGATTCTAAAAACGTGGCGAAACTTTGAAAACAAGATCAAAGAGACTTGCTGACTTACGCTATTTGGTCTTCTCAAATACCCTCAAATTCTATAAAATAAATATTTAAAAATCAACAACGCAAAACATCGTACCAGCAGCGGACTGGGCCGTAAACATCGAGCTGTAGCTGCTTGCATAGCGTCATTGTTCACTTCCCTGAAAATATGCGATTTGACAACTGCAAAAATCTTCGGAAGATGCTGCGGAAATGGCGGCCCAGAAGTCATAGAATTTCACAGCGTAACAGTTTTCGCTTGGATTTTGAAAAGCACGGAAAAGAAAAAAAAGGTAATAGGCTATAAGAATAAAATCTGAACAGGAAATAAGTAAAATTGTTAATAAATTTGTTAAGAGCAGTGGACTACCATTAAATTTTTATAACGAGGGAATATTATTTTAAGAATTAAAAATATGACTCTGGGTTAAGATACTTTGGATTGAACAAAATTTAAGAGTTTCCGCGCCATGGGGGGAATGGGGGGATTTTCCGGGCTACGTTCTGCTCCAGGAAAACCATACCTAGCCCCCACTCCGGCCGGGGGCGATTTCGAGGTGGAAATTCGGCAAGTTTGCAAAAAAGTCAAAAGTCCTGCACGTCAAAATTTCTGAAAAATTCATCGTCGCTTGGAAATTCTCAAAACCCTCTGAGGCCGATCCCAGCCGGTCTATTTTTTTTCCTGCTCATGAATTGAATACCTAAATGTCCTGCTAAATGCCGCGGGGAGTGGAGAAATGATTTCTTGGCATTTCAAAGCAGGACCTGGCCGAAGAATTTTGAATTCCAAAATATAGGCTGATGAAATCGGCCTTCGAGGTCCCAGGAGGGCTGTCTAGCCACGAATGATGATTTTCGGAATTTGGGCTGGCCAGCCCAAATTGGTGCGGCCCTTACGCGGCCGTGAAAAAGCAAACAGGTCGGAGTGGTGGACGCGGGCCAAAACAACGGATAAATAAATTCTTATGGAAGGGTGTAGTCGAGCGTAGCTCACAACCTATTCTTGAGATAAATCATAGGAAATTAGACCATTAGAAAACGGAATTTTGAAAGGGATGGAATATGAGCGACGCGGAATTCTAACAATTTCAAAATTTTTCAAAACTTACCACATTTTTTGAAAATGCAAATTTTTAACTAAAACTAGGGTAAAATTGTTCGATTATCTGAATGTGAAAAATGTCGATTGGACGGATTCGGGACCGGGGGGGGGGATTTCGGCATCTTTCGTACTTTGAAAACTGCATACCACCGAAAAAGGAAAATAAAAAGCAAACGTATTCACAGCTCAAAAAAAGGGAATAAAGAGTTGGACCTAACCGGTTACGCCCTGTAAACCGGCCGAAAGTTACATCATCAGCCAAGTTGTGTATATACTTTCTATGGCTCCTAAAATAGCACCATCGGCCTTACACAACTCGAAAAAAAATGCTATTTTTCCAGCGTTCCAAGACCTAGTTTTTGATTAACGAGGACGATGATATTCACGAATAGTCATAAAAAATCTGATGAATAAAAAATAAAATTATTTTGATATTTCAAAATTCCCAAACATGAAATTGCGCCAGAAAAAGCGTGAGGTACGATCGTAAATTCAGAAGCAAAAATGGGGCGGGGGAGGAGGAGAAGGAGGAGGAGTGGCGAATCGCGTGCCAGAATATAGATGGAACCCCCGGGAGGGCACCCACCGGTCCTTTTCATCCACTGCTTCTGGCAGAAACGGAAGAAATTGCCGAAAATATGGTCATAATTCGAGGAATAGGTTAATTAACGCAGCTAAGGAAGTAGCGGCATATTCTTACGGCGCTAAGGCCATCAGAAAAATTTGGGA